GGAGACAAAAAGGAGACAGAGGGAGATAGATGGAGAAAGAGGAGACAGAAGGAGACAGAAGGAGACAAAAAAGAGACAAAAAGGAGACAAAAAGGAGACAAAAAGGAGATATATACATATATATAAAGAGGTGTATTATGCGGCATTTGTGTAAGTAATATACTGTAGATAGCAACTGAGATACTATCCTAAAAGAAAGAAGACAAGGAGGAGACAAAAGGAGACAGAGGGAGACAAAAGGAGACAAAAGGAGACAAAAGGAGACAAAGTGGAGGCAACAACAGCAGCAACAACAACGAGAGTAACTGCAGCAGCAGCAACAGCAGCAGCAGCAGCAACAGTAACTGCAGCAGCAACAGCAGCAACAAAAAAACGGCAAAAAAAACAGCAACAGCACCAAAAACAGCAGCAACAGCAGCAGCAGCAGCAACACCAAAAACAGTAACACCACCAACAGCAGCAGCAGCAGCAGCAGCAGCAGCAGCAGCAGCAGCAGCAGCAGCAGCAGCAGACCTATTAACATGCACTTCAGGCAGGTGGTGGTTAGCATGTATAAGGTCAAAAAGTTCTCCGCCTCTGACGAGCTCCATAACAATATAAAGTGTCTCCTTTGTATCCACCATCTCCTGTATATATATATATATATATAAACACACACACACTTGCTGCTGCTGCTGCTGCTGCTGCTGCTGCTGCTGCTGCTGCTGCTGCTGCTGCTGTTGGTGTTGGTGTTGGTGTTGTTGTTGTTGCTGTTTTTGTTTTGTTGCTGCTGTTTGTTTATTTGTTATGTTCTTCGTTTTGGGTGGTTTATCCTCTATATACAATGTGTTTAGGGTTTATATTTAATATATTTAGGGTTTAGGGTTTAGGGTTTAGGGTTTGGGGTTTAGTTTAATTGTTATTCTATTTATCTTTTCCTGTCTGTGTTGTGTGTCTGTGTGTGTGTTGGTGATTGTATTATATTATATTATATTATGTTATATTATATTATATTATATTATATTATATTATATTATATTATATTA